ACCTTTGTTTTGTTTTGAAGCCTGATTGTGCAATCCCCATTCTTTGCGAATCTTTGCTTTGCAATAATTTTTTATGTCTTTATAGAATAACCGATTAGTACCGATTACATTTGAATATTCTTATCTAATATATACACAATTTATTGATATAAAAATTCCATTTTTAACAAATTTATCAAGATTACTTTTTTTCACAATCTTATCATCTTTTTTACACTAAAAGATAATTTGCATCAGATATCGATTTGCAAATATTTGTAACTTTTTATGTCTTTATAGAATAACCGATTAGTACCGATTACATTTGAATATTCTTATCTAATATATACACAATTTATTAATATAAAAATTCCATTTTTAACAAATTTATCAAGATCACTTTTCTTCACAATCTTATCACCCTTTTTACACTAAAAGATAATTTGCATCAGATATCGATTTGCAATTAGTTTTTTAGCGATATAAGTTGAATAGAAAATGTAAAATATTAAACATATACATAAAATAAGTGCAAGAATAAACAATTGTGTGTTAAATTTTTTGGCATTTTAACAGTTTTGTTTGAGGCTATTCATTGAATCTGTTATATTAATATGTTGAATATTTTGAACTAAGCGTCGAAATCATATGTTATAAAAATGAATGATAATGTTTTAATTATTTTCATGTGAGTATTATAATTTAAGTGTATTTTAAGATTTTAATAAATATATTTAATTCAAATTTATAATCTACTTACATCACTAAAAAACTTTGAATTTTAGAAATAAGTCTCGAAAATTCATTCACTGCATATTTATCTAATTTATACTCTAATAATAAATTTAACTTCCTGAAGAAGTTTATGTTTTTGCAAAAAAAATCCGATTTGCTGATTTTATGTTTTCTCGGCGTTTCAAGTCATTCCGAATCGAATGAGACCAGATTTGGAAAATGCATGTGTTTGATATTGGTTTATATTGGATATTGGTTCAGAAAGATACTGATTGTTGTAAAAATCAGCTAAGCCGTTTTCTTGTAATTACTGTTCCAAAAAAAATCGAAGATTTTTATGAAACTTTTTTCAGCAATGGATATCTTTTTGGTCTTTTAGAACATATTAATATTACGTCCTTAGGACAAGTCGTTTAATTTTAAAAATTCATACGTTTGGAAAAATGACCAGATTTTTAGTCGTTTATTACAATAACACTTTTCATCGATGTTTTTTCAAAAACTGCTAAATCGATTTAAAAAAATTCAACAACCTTTCGATATAGCGCCATAAAATCTATCTCTTCCCAGTTTTGTGCAACGATCGGCCGTTTCTTTGTAATTAACAAAGTAAAGAAAATTTTTTGTTCACGTTTAAGCCAAAAATTCTAAACCGATTTTGAACATTCAAAAACTATTCGAAAAATACTATGTGGGAATCGTGCTAATTATGTTTGGATAAAAATCTGCCGAGCCGTTAACTGTTGAAAATTTTTGAAGTAAAACTTCTTTAGGCGCGACTAGGGTGTAAAACCGTAAAAATGCAACGGAAGTGCGTTACGGTCGAACTGTACGTCATTCGCTCCCGATGAAATCATTTCTATAAGGGCCAATTGTGATTAGTCGTCGTGTATGTGAATAGAGATCTGTCGTTGTATGCGTACCGGCATCAACGTTGTATGCGTTTCGATATCAACAAGGAAATCGGCACAGATAAATAAACATTTTAAAGTTACATCGCAGTAGTTCGCTGAATCAGATGAACACTTTACCCTGTTCCTTAAAAATAATAAAACAAATTAAATATGTGGGCCGTGTGCTAAGAGTAAGTTTATTGATTAGAAATTATTGCTATATTATTCGTCGTTTCTGTAAATCTTTGAAGTTATTAAAAAGGAAAATATTTTGACAGATTACAGCTGTTCAAAAAATGAGATTATATCGCCAGCAAAAAAGTAGAAAAAAATACAAGCAGTCAATGAATGTATGTTTATTTTAATTACATGAAGTTCTTCAAACACAATTACATGAGTGAAGTTGCGAAAACAAAATTCATTTAGGCGTTGTTTAACATAACCCACTGTGTGAACGAATGTTAAAGAATTTATAAATCAGCAATTACTTAATTTCTCTAATAAAGGTTCATTTCTAAGTGATAATTACAATGACAAACCGATCATGTCATATTTGAAATATGACTTTCATTACATTCTTGTTTTTAAATATTAGGGGAAAGTCCCGTAACGCCGGACGGCACCAAAGACCGGACACTCTATTTAACACGTATTATTTAAGCGAGTATAAATCTTTTCATTTCAAAATACTAGTGAAAGGGTGGGCAAACCGGTACAGGATCACGCCCTAAGACTCAACTATAAAGCACACGGCCATGGCGGTAGCAATCCTTTGTTGTTTTAGGCGCAAAATCACAGCGTCACCTAAATATCAATGGAAGTAATTATAGCATATTTATGCATTTACATTTGAGTAGTATGCAAAAATAAAAGTTGTACTTGATTGTTATCCGTAAAATGGAAGAATATCATTAGATCTTTTAACCAATTTTAATAGGTGCCATCAAATGAATGAAAATGTCTGTCCCTTAGCACCGGACACTAAGTCGTCCCTTAGTGCCGGACAGTTAACATATTGATATTTCTTGTGAGAATTTACGTAATTTGTTCCAATTGTTTAATTTTATTCTGTATGAGTGCTAACGGTCACATTTTTCGTATTTCCTAGTCAAAGAATGAAAAGCTTATGAATGCACCAGCTGATAACATCGGTGTGGCCCAGCCAAAAGAGTGGATGCATAGTGACTTTTTTTTTTGCAATATCTAAGAATATTTGTCAAAGACACATGTGCAGACATTCCAGAGCGTGGAGATAGCTACATATGTGATCAATGCAGGTTATTTTGAAATGTCCGGTACTAGGTGCCACTGTTTAAAATCATATTTTTTGATAGCAGAGTTTGATTGATAGTATTAATTATTTTTTTAACAAAGATTGGGATTTTGTTAATTTAGTTTGATTTCTAACCTTGTTATCTAATATAAATTATAATTTAATAAACATTTCGTAAAATATTTTTTGATTTATTTTTAAATAACCTTAGGTGTCCGCCACTTGGGGACTTTCCCTTATACATACTTTTAATGCTATTATAAATTTATAATTTATCATTATATGAACGTGTATAATGGTTGACACTAATAAATGTGTGCGTCACGAGTGTTACCATATCTTTTATATATATAAAAATAAGTCGGGGTTTCCTTCCTGACAAAATAACTCCAGAACGCACGAACCGATTTCGACAATTTTGCATTCTTTGGAAAGGTCTCGGGCACCGCAAGGTTTATAGCTAAGAAAATTAGTTGTGCATGGCATCGTGCCTTAATGCAAGCTGCTGGAACTTCACGCACCGTAATTAAAAATTCGAGTGATGACATTAGTGAGAGTTATCAGAATTATGCTTGGTTAAGTCAACGATCAATTCTTGCCGCAAAGAATAATGATGTACACGCACTGAATTTCACCATTCAATCAAAAATTACTGGCGATTTGGTGACATACCAATGATTCTGACTGGTCTTCCGTTTGACTTCAAACGATTGCAATTTCCAGTTTGCCTTGCGTTCGCAATAACAAGTCGCAAGGCCAATCGCTTAGTGTTTGCGTGATAAATTTCAAATAGATTATTTAGAAAATCATTGTTTTTCACATGGGCAGTTATACGTTGCCTGTTCACGAGTTGGAAAACCATCTGCTTTGTTTGTGTTAACGTCAGACCAAAAAACAAAAAATGTGGTTTACCAAGAGAACTTAGAGAAATTCAACTCAAAAACACTTAATTTTTGTAATCGAAATAAATTCATTACTGTTGTATAATAAAAACAAATTTTTCCTTTTCAAATATAAAACAAACAAAAAATTTCTTCATCTTTCTCAGGAAACCATCTGGTGGCGAAACGGAGTTCGTCGGGTTTGCTAGTTACTCATAAACATTATTCAAAATTGTTATATAATGTATTTATTTTCACTTAAAGCCATCTTGTAGAGTAACAAATAGGTTTTACTTCAATCGTATGTGAACCTTACGTGCACTTTTTTTATTGATGAATATTTTTATGTTGATAGACATCAACCATGGTCCTAAAGAACATACTAAAATGTTACCGCCCTACGACAAGTCGTTTGATTTTAAAATTCACCAAAGTTTAATAAATATCATGGTCAAAAGGGTTGGGCGTGTTTCCATACAGAATTGGCCCCACCCTGGTGTTTAAATAATTTGCCATTTTATAGGTATTTTCGAGAAAATTCGAAATACCAAATTTCAAATCCGTAGCTCATCATTTGGCCGAGATATCAGTGAAAACATGTGAAAGAGGCCCCTTTTTTCAAACCCACTTTTTGTCGGAAATATGAGAGATACCGAAAAAATGTTAACGTCATTATGTTTATACTGATCTTGTCTACGTTGTTCATTACAAATAATGTGAAAAAAATATTTGTTAGTGCGTGAAAAGGTAAAAATGATTTTTCATTTTCCATTTTCTACCAGTGCGGCTCTTTGGACTACATTTATATTAGCATCATTCGAAAGCCTGTACATTTTTCTTCTGTTATTCAAAAATTCATTTAAATGTAAGTGGAACTTTGGGTAAACAGTTGGAAAAACTTAAGCTAGCACACACGCTGCCGGTACAAGAACACCCATATAAAGTCGCTTTGCAAGAGCGACGAGCAAGCATAAACCTCGTCGTTATCGCGCGTCTCGACAAATTGTGTATATAAGTATGGAAATATTTATTAAAAACCTTTAATTTATTTATACCCGCCCATACCCTTTGTGTGACAATGTTAAGAATCAAGGTTATGGATGTTAACACCTCCTGCCCTCTACTTTCAAATATTGTTGTTCAGAAATTTCTAACTTTACTGGTTTTTGGAGATATCGGTGGTGGACCTTTAATACAGTCTAATACATTTCATAAATCTTCTAATATGAATTTAGTGCGATGCAGTTCTGGTTTTGTTTTTCTTCTGCTGAGAGTGGTGTCTTCTTAGCTTCCAAAAATGATCAACAAGGTTGTGTGATGACTGGAAAAGCAACAACATCAGCTGTTGCTTGGAATACAATTGTGAACAACCAAAAAGGTCAGAAAATATATTATAAATTTAAATAATTCAATAGCTATTATTGAACAATTATAGTCAGGGAAATAAAATTTATTAGTTGTTATGTCCTCTTATCGGACAGATACCAATTCAGTGAAATATTCACCAAAACGTTCACGAAATCTTTTATGGGAATACAAATTGAGTGATATCTGGCAAAAGGACAGTAGCATTAAATCTAATTTTGCACCGAGGACTGATTCTGCATGGAATGGTTTTGTATAATTTAATGTTCAATTATAGTGTTATTAAATTATCCAAAACTGTATTTTCAATTTAGTAATTGCATTTTCAGATTTTGAAGAAATAAGTATGGAACCTTCTACAAACAAATATCTTGTAAATTTTATAAAATTTCCTATGAATGACCAAGAAACGTGGATAAGTGCTTCCTTTAAAGTATCATCGGATGCCCATGTTATGCTTTGCGATAATGAAAATTTTGCTGACAGCAGATGTTACATGGTTATTATATCCGGATTCAATAATACAAAATCTATAATTCGTAAATGTAAAAATGGAATTCCACCTCTATACCCTGAAGATTCTTCTTGCAACATGTCTCAAGCTGAAAAAACTCACTCCAGCGTAAGTTTCTAATTATATCAATAGCAAATTCCAAAGAATATTTTGTTAATTACTGAAATATTTTTCAGCCAATTTTAAATGAACGTCAATGGAATCATTTCACTTTTTCGATACGAAAATATTACAAAGAAATCACCAAATTCAATTTATACCAAGAAAATAAAGCAACAAGTAGATTCGAAGAGATATTCGAATATAATGACGAAACCCCATTTGATGTTAAATGGTTTGGTGTAAAAAAGTTACTTGGAAAAAGGATTATGGAAACTCCATAATTGTAAGTATGAAACTATTTTAAAAAGTTATCATTTTTGGCGCTTTTGGCCCCGTATCTTTGGGGCACCTAGGGTGTAAATCCGTACAAATGCAACGGAAGTGCGTTTACGGCCGTGTCGAGTGCCAATGATTCGTCATTCGCTCTCGATGAAATCATTTCTATATGGGTCGATTGTGATTAGTCGTCGTGTATGTGAATAGAGATCTGTCTTTGTATGCGTACCGGCATCAACGTTGTATGCGTTCCGATATCAACAAGCAAATCGGCATAGATAAATAAATTTTTTAAAATTGCATCGTAGTACAAATCTTGATATAATGAAAAATGCCTGAATCAGAAGAATATTTTACCCTGTTCCTTGAAAATAATAAAACAAATTGAATATTTGTGCCGTGTACTAAACGTCAGTTTATTGATTATTAAAATGGGAAATATTTTTTAGGCAATACAGATATTACAGATGTTCAAAGAATGAGCCGGCTATGAAATATTTATTTCATATTTTTTACCTCTGTCTTACATTTCAACTCTCTTGCTATCACTCCCATAAATTTTGCCTCTGTCTCTTTCATTAATTCTAACTTTTTCTATCACTCTTTTTCATTTAATTTTTTTCTGTAATTCTATCTTTATCACTCTCTATAAGAAAATTTTATCCCGTCCCCTATAAATAATGATAGTGCAAATAATAAAACAAATAAAAAATATGTGCCGTGTAAGAAACGTAAATTTATTGAAGTAATTTGTATTATTCCAGGTTTTCAAGGTTACTATACACCTTACTGAAATGAAAAATATTATTATAGGCAAGACAGCTACTAGAGTTGCTCAAAGAATGAGATTATATCGACAGCGAAAAAGTAAAAAAATAAAACCAGTCAATAAATATATGTTAATTTTAATTACATGAAGTTCTTCAAACACAATTATAACATAATGAGTGGAATAGTGAAAGCAATATTTCTTTAGGCGTTGTTTAACATAATCCACTATGTGAACGAATATTACAGAAGTTATTAATCAGCAATTACTTTATTTCTCTAATAAAGGTTGATTTCTAAATTCTAATTACAATGACAAACCGATCATGTCATGTTTGAAGTATGACTTGAATTACATTACTGTTTTTAAATATTACACATATTTTTAATGCTATTGTAAATACATATATAATTTATAATTTTTTATTATATAATGTGTATAATGGTTGACACTAATAAATGTTCGCATCACGAGTGTTGCCATATCACTAATAAACATTATTCAAAATTGTTATATGATGTATTTATTTTTACTGAAATTCCATCTTGTACAGTAGCAAATAACTTCAATCGCGTGTGAACCTTACACGCACTCTTTTTTTAGAACCACTCAAATCGGTTGATCCTTGTTCTCGAAATCCTCGACGACAAATTGTATCCGCACATATCTACACACAAACATACATCCATTTTTTCTAACGTATGCCAGAGGGCTTTAAGACGTAAAGATAAATAAACATTTTCAGTTTCGATTTTTTTGCTATTACTATAACTTACCCTACGGGAAGTCAAAGGGTGCGCGAAGGTTCACACGCGATTGAAGTAAAACTTATTTGCTACTGTACGGGATGTACAGTAATAATTGTGTTTGAAGAACTTCATGTAATTAAAATTAACATACATTCATTGACTGCTTGTATTTTTTTACCTTTTCGCTGGCGATATAATCTCATTCCTTGAATAGCTGTAATATCTGTCTTGCCTAAAAAATATTTTCCATTCTAATAACTTCAAAGATTTATAGAAACTACGAAAAATATAGAAATAATTTCTAATCAATAAACTTACGTTTAGTACACGACACAAATGTTTAATTTGTTTCATTATTTTCAAGGAACAGGGTAAAATATTCTGAATCAGGCATTTTTCATTAAATCAAGATTTGTACTAATATGTAACATTAAAATGTTTATTTATATATGCCGATTTCCTTGTTGATATCGGTACGCACACAACGTTGATGCCGGTACGCATACAACAACAGATCTCTATTCACATACACGACGACTAATCACAATCGACCCGTATTGAAATCATCTCATCGAGAGCGAATGACGAATCATTCGACTGGGCCGAAACGCGCTTCCATTGCATTTGTACGAATTTACACCCTAGTCGCGCCTAAAGAACTTTTACTTCACAAATATTTTGGAATTTTGATCTAATATTCTTACAATATTTTAATTTATAGCCACAATAATTTGGACAAACAAAGTGGAACAATCAGGATATTTATTTGAGAATGATTTAAACCTACAAGTGAAAAATGGCAAAGTTTGTCTGAAGATTACAATGGCCCTTTGCTCGGCATGCAGTTTTCAGTTGCATCTGCAAAATCAGCAAGGAAATATAATTTCTTCAAACACAATCCATGGCGATGAAGTATTAACTATTATATGAATTATTTTTAATTGCAAACTAATAGAATTATACTTTCAGAGTTGTGCTGAATTACTAGACATGAGAGAAAAAGTTATATATTTCAATATACCTAGTTGGCAATCGACAGGGAAGTATAAACTGAAATTTAGTACAATTTCAAACAGTAATATATATCGTTTTTGGGCAATAAGTGGTGTTAGAAATTGCAACATAGGTTATTATATCATTTTTAATTACTTCAAGTACATTTTATTGCTTTTAATATATTTCTATTATTGTTGTTGTAGATGAATCTAAGATTTTACTTTTCAATGGCGGCAAGTATACAACTCAAACACAGTGTCGACTACTAAACCATAATGCAATGCATTATTTATTAAAAAATAATTTAAAAGAACAATTGACAAGAAATGGACCACTAAATTGTTCTGACTGGTTTCATTCGACAAAAAATTGCGAAGGAGTTATACTCACCACATTAGATGGAAATCAAAGGAGTTGCATTCCCGGATACAATGGCGATAATTGCAAAAGTAGAGAAAATTTTAATAATAATATTTTGATTTATTGTTTCTTTACTGATTAACAAGAACATTAATATTTTAGCTAAAACGATGGTGAAGCAGAATATTACAGTTGTAGAGCAAAATTATTCAAAAATGAAAATTCGACTCGTATTATTTGAACCTGATGGAAGTTGGGCAGATTACATGACTCTGCAATACCAGGTGTATACAAACATTTCTGCAGTAAATCCTTGGATGAATATCGGACTTCCAGTGCCAATCTCAAAATATATCGAAACCGATATTAATGTACCTTGTAAAATAACAACACAAAGTTTGAGTATCCATAAAAATAATAGGATAGTGATCAGAGTTTTATTGCTTTTGGATGGAATCAGTGAATCTAACAATGATGTACAAGGAACCATTGTAGAATCAACATGTGGCAGTGGAGCTGATGATGAATATAACGTATTAAATCTTAGTTAATAAGTTTTTATTTTTTTCGATTTTCGAGTTTTTATTATTTCTTAATTCTGAATAACTTTTATTCAGTATGAAAGGATAATCCTCCTAAACTATTATTTGGATTTTGATAAATCTTTCTCAAGTTTGTTAAGGGAATTTTTCAGAATTTTTGATTCATAGAAATATAGTTAGATTGCAGAAATAAATGGAAAAAATTACAAAAAAAAACGCTTATCATCGTTTGACTTTGAAAATATTAGAGGCATTGTTTGACATTAAAAACAAATGAAGACCGTCATTTGCCAAACATTTCAATTCGCTTATAGGCTAAGACAATATTTAAATATAGTCTATTTATGATTATGAATAATAAAAATGTAATGTTTACATTATTATCGCCGAAAACCAACTGAGATGTGCCAGAAATTAAAATAATATAAATAAAGTATAAGGTTTGGCTGATGAAGTCTGCTCATGCGTCTGTCAGTGATTGCACATCAACTTAGCCTATAACTCAATTTGACAGATTATTATTTTTTAACTAATGCAGTCGTGTTTTGCCTTACCTTACTAAATCACAATACAAAAAAAATTTACTTATTCAAAAAATGATTTAGAAGTTTCATAAAAAATCAAGTCAATGGAGCGTTTTGGGTCTGAATTTTTGTACTGTGCTCCAATTTGTATGAAATTTTGGAATGAGGTTCATCTTATTCTCAAGTTCTAAAGTGAAAATAAAATAAACTCCACGGGTGAATGACAATCATTTTCAGTGGTTTTATTTGTTCTCAAAATAACGTCAGATATTGATAGAAGAACTAAGAAGATAGAAGAATGAAATACGTTTCATAATGTTTTACAAAAAACAAATACTTTTCACTAGCTACTAAAAATTCGTTTCTTTTTGGCGTTTTTTATCTTTTTTTACTGCAAATATCTACAAAAATATACATTTCAACGAAAATCATGTAACGAACAAAATTATATCTTAATAAATCGGTATTTTGTAACGTGTCCTAGGACCAATATTAAGCTAGATATGGAAAAGCGTTTTTTATTTCGTTTGAGATTGAATTCTTGTATTTGAAGCCATCTAGCGGCGAGGTGTTACATTTTATATATTCCATGAAATTTTATAGTGCTCAAAATAAGCTTTAAAATGAGTACTGTTAAGGGTCTAAAGGGATAAATCACAAAGGCAGATGATGAATTTTGGTGTGATAAATTTGGAAAATCGATGTTTTAGTCGTGAATAAACAAAAAATCATTTACTTATACATCTACATTTACAGGAATGACTGAAAATACTGGATAACCCTTGGCATTTAAATAAATTGAGCTATTGGAAATAAATTTATTCAATAAATTGTAGACTATATTTCTAATATACTATTTTATTGAACATATCTCAATATTTGTTTGTTTGATGGTTTTACGTGGCTGATTTGAATTTCACAGTATAATTAAAGAGTTAGTGTGGGTTAGGAGACTCATCATTTTATTTAAAGCAGTTGTACATTTAAGATCCTATTTTTCAACTGGACCCTATTCCTTCTCTTTCCTATTTGATATTGCGTGACTCACCTAGTTGACCTTGAATAGAGAATTCATACTCCGACGAAGGTATAAGGAACGACTTGTAACGGATAACACATAATGCTAATTTAGATTTCCATATTTTAGATTTTAAATTATAACACACTGATGATGAGACAAACATAGTCTCGAAACGTTTGTAAAATTATTATTTAATACATTAGTGCAAAAAAGAGTGTTGTTTGTTCATATTATTAAATTAAAATATATATGTATATATATATATATATATATATATATATATATATATATATATATATTACATATATACATATGTAACTATGTTAAAATATACATAAACTTGTTTCAGGAATTTTAACACAATCGACAAGAAATGATGTCACAATTTTAATGGTAAGTGAGTTATTTAAATTGCTGAAAATTTTTAAGGATAAATTAATTTATTGTTTATTTTTCAACTATTAAATTAGACTGCCAAAAAGTTAAATTTTTGTCCTCTGGATTATTATTATGGCATCAAGTTGAAAGGGAACAACACATGGGCTACTCGAATCAATGACAACAAATATGCAATTAGAGATTTACAGGCTTATACAAAATACACCATAGAATTCAAATCAAGAACAAAAGACTTTCAAGTAGAATTCATGACTTTAGGAGGTAACTGTATAATTGATTTCCTTATTAGATTAGCAAAACAAACTTGAATATTTTTCAGAACCTGGTCCAGTTTTAAACCTGACTGCATATTCTTTTGATAGTGACAAGGTCTCTTTGAGATGGAGTTCCCCTTTAGAAACCAGAGCAGCAACAATTAAGAAATATTCAATCATGGCATATGATACAAACAATACAACTATGACTACAAAAAATGTGTCTCTATCTGATGCATCTTGTCAAATATGGGATGGATACTTGTGTTCGACAATAGAAAAACTTTATCCTGGTGTTAAAAAAATCGAAATAAAATTTTCATAATCATCAGAAATGTTTAAAACACACGAATTTGTTTTAATGTTGTACTTTTTACTTACAGGTTCGTGCCGTGTCAAAATTATATTATGGCGATCCAAATGTGATAAATGATGTAACACTCAGAGAAAAAGGTATTTTTGAAGTGAAACTTCTTTAGGCGTGACTAGGGTGTAATTCGGTACAAATGCAACGGAAGTGCGTTACGGCAGATAAGATAAGATAAGAGTAGAGTGCCATTTTGAATGACAATTCGTCATTCGCTCTCGATGATATCATTTGTATACGGGTCGATTGTGATTAGTCGTCGCGTATGTGAATAGAGATCTGTAGTTGCATGCGTACCGACATCAACGTTGTATGCGAACCGACATCAACAAGGAAATCGGCATAGATAAATAAACATTTTAAAGTTACATCGTAGTACAAATCTTGATTTAATAAAAAATGCCTGAATCAGAAGAATATTTTACCCTGTCCCCCGTAAATAATTATAATGAAAATAACAAAACAAATGCAGCATTTACGCCGTGTATGAATCATTAGTTTATTGAAATAATTTCTATATTATTTGTGGTTTCTATAAGTCTTTGAAGTTATTCAAATGGAAAATATTTTTTAGGCAGAACAAATATTAAAGCTGTTCAAAGAATGAGATTATATCGCCAGCAAAAAAGTAAAAAAAATACCATCAGTCAATGAATGTATGTTCATTTTAATTACATGAAGTTCTTCAAACACAATTGCATGATGGGTAAAGTTGCAAAAACAATATTTGTTTAGGCGTTGTTTAACATATTCCATTGTTTGTACGAATATTATAAAATTTATTAATCAGCAATTACTTCATTTCTCTAATGAAGGTTTATTTCTAAATGCTAATTACAATGACAAACCGATCAAGTCATATTTGAAGTATGACTTTAATTTCATTATTGTTTTTAAATATTATACATATTTTTAATGCTATTATAAATATATAATTATAATTTATCATTATATAAATGTGTGTAATGGTTGACACTAATAAATGTGTTACCATATTACTAAGAAACATTAATCAAAATTGTTATACGATGTATTTATTTTTACTTAAATGCCATCTTGTACAGTAGCAAATAAGTTTTACTTCAATCGCGTGTGAATCTTACGCGCACTCTTTTTTAACTTCCCGAAGTTATATTTTCTCGAGAAAATTCGGTTCGCTAATTTTTTTGAATCAAATGAGAACTCATCAAAAAAATGTGTATGAGCATGAATGGTTGTATCTATGTGCGGCATTCTGATCTTTCGTCGTTTTTTCAAAAACGGCTGAACCGATGTCAAAAATTTTAGAACCAAGTGCACCATTGAACTTGCGAATAGACACTGATCATCATGACGCAATAGTTTGGGAACATCCTTGGATTCCTGGTGGAAAAATTAAACATTTCCAAATATCATGGACTCTCGAGTCAACTGAATTACTCATTAGTCAGGATAATAGTATATTTAGCGAAAACTTGATAGTATCCGTGGACCAGAAGCAATATAAATTCAAGGTAATTTATTACATCTATGTTATATACATAATAATTAATATTACAGAGTTATTTTATTTTAATTTAGTTGAGAAAAATAGCTTTTGCCAGCACTTACAATGTTAAGGACAGAGCATTCAATTTCCACGAAGGAGATGAGACTAAAGTTATATTAAAGACGCCACTGCCAATTCCGGATTTTAACGGACAATTAGAAGCGACAAGATTGGATGCAAATAGAATAGACATTAATATGCCTCTCAATATAAATAATTTTGCAAATTTGACCAAAAACAGGTAAGATACTAGTAGGGCTTCCAATACCGTACTAAAATTTGAATACCAGTATTCGATATTCGAAATTTGTAACACCGGGATCCCGGTATTATCAATGAAAAATTTACTAGTTAGTCGATATGAATTAGTACTTAGTATAGTGTATTCTACATATATATAAAAATAAGTCGGGTTTTCCTTCCTGACGAAATAACTCCAGAACGCACGAACAGATTTCGACAAATTTGCATTCGTTGGAAAGGTCTCGGGCTCCGCAAGGTTTACAGCTAAGAAAATTAGTGGTGCATGGCATAGTGCCTTAATGCAAATTGTTGGAACTTTATGCACCGTAATTAAAAATTCGAGTAATGACATTAGTGAGAATTATCAGAATTATGCTTAGTTAACTCTTGCCGCAAAGAATAATGATGTACACGCACTTAATTTCACCATTCAATCAAACATTGCTAGCGATTTGGTGACATGCCAATGATTCCGACTGGTCTTCCGTTTGACTTCAAACGATTGCAATTTCCAGTTCGCCTTGCGTTCGCAATAACAAGTCACAAGGCCAATTGCTTAGTGTTTGCGGGATAAATTTCAAATAGATTATTTAGAAAATCATTGTTTTTCACATGGGCAGTTATACGTTGCCTGTTCACGAGTTGGAAAACCATCCGCTTTGTTTGTGTTAACGTCAAAACAAAAAAACAAAAAATGTGGTTTACCAAAGAGTACTTCAATAAAATGGATAATTTGCGGATTCACTTTCATTTACTTGGAGAAGTTCAACTAAAAACACTTCATTTTTGTAATCAAAATAAATTCATTACTATTGTGCAATAAAATCAAATTTTTCTTTTTCAAATATAAAACAAAAATTTTTTTCATCTTTCTCCATCTGGTGGCGAAACGGAGTTCGTCGGGTTTGCTAGTTAGTTTATAAACAAATCATAATTAAACATCAACACTTCACAAAAACTTACAGAAAATTATTGCATTTACTGATTGTCCAATAAATAAACAAAATAATTCTATATGAAAGATTTCTAAAAATCTGCAACGTACGCATAAGAAAGAGGTCATCCACCACCGAGACCAATATTATCATTGATTATTGACTATTTATCACTCGATGATTTGGCTTATAAATTTTGGTTATAATAAAATAATAAATAAAAACGAATGATTGATAGGAAGATATACTAATATAAAGAATTATAACATGTCGGTTGTTTGTTTTGTTTAAAAATCTTTAATAAAGAATTAGATATGAGGACAATGCACGTGGACGACTAATAATTTTTATAAATGGGTTCCTGCCGACATCGACAAGATGTGTCATACTGGGCAGAGCCGACTCGGCAATACACATACACAGTTTGAAAAAGGTGTTTGGTATTGCGTAAGTTGAATTTTTAACAAAATTTTGGTAATTCCGAAATACCGGTATTATTGTATCAATACCGGTATTGAATACCGGACAAAAATCGTCCGGTAATTTGCTGCAAGCCCTAGATGATAGCAATTGCAGCAAATGTTTTCCAGGTATGATTTTTGGATTTCTTTTTCAGTGGTTACTATGTGCTCGTCCGAGAAGTCAAGAGTGAAAATGTTTCTGAAGAAAAAATAAATCATTGTAACCAACAACAGTCTAAATACAATACAATATTTGAAGAGGCTAGAGTTGCTAATAAACCTGATTTCGTTGCGTGGATAGCAAAACGAATGAATATTGTAAAAACTGTTTTTACATAACTTATATTGGATAGATTTTTGGTAGAAATGTATCTTATTTACAGGAAGATATTGCTATGATACATCAGAAGGTGGTGATTGGCACAGGATCGCTGGATGGTGATTTTAGCGATTTTGTATTGCCAGAAGAAACGCATTACAAAATATCTGTTGTCTTTTACAACACTGATGGTGAAAATTATACATATAAAACTTTGTTCAATGAGAAAATTATAAAAATTGAACAAAATTCTTTGTTATGGTACCTACTGCTCTTGCTGATTATACCAATTTTGGCTATAGTCGTTTTCTTGATGTAAGTACAAATAATGAAATGTGATTTTTTTAAGAATAAAATTTTCAATCAACTTTATTATTATGCAATTCATTAAAATTATATTATTTAAAAATATCGTTGATGGTGTTGGATTCGCTGTCATATCAAAGGTATAAACAAAAATTGCTGCTTGAGAATACTTAACAATATCTTGTTTTAATTAAGATATAAAATTAAGATAATTGATGTTGATAATCTAATTAGATACAAACACAAAAAAGCGAATCTTGTTCAGAAAGCAACACACGTAGTAACATTTGAATCTGAGGAAAAACAGAATTTTCATGACTCTTCGCCTCTTATTGATCAGCAAATTGGTTCCGAATCCAAAGAACTTCTTAGTCATCCAGTGAACGAAAAATATTTTGAGGACTACGTCAAACAATCTTTATTGGACGGAATTCTGGACGAGCAGTTCAAGGTTCGAAAGATTTAATAATATTTCTTGTTTGGTTTTTGAAGTAAAACTACTTTAAGCGCGACTAGGGTGTAAATAGGTAATTTGAAGTAAACTACTTTAAGCGCGACTAGGCTGTTCGTCATTCGCTCTCGATGAGATCATTTCTATACGGGTCGATTATTATTAGTCATCGTGTATGTGAATAGAGATATGTCGTTGTATGCGTACCGGTATCAACGTTGTATGCGTACCGATATCAACAAGAAAATCAGCATAGATAAATAAACATTTTAAAGTTACATCGTATTACAAATCTTGATTTAATGTAAAATGCCTGAATCAGAAGAATATTTTACCCTGTTCCATGAAAATAATAAAACAAATTAAACATTTGTGTCGTGTACTAAACGTAAGTTTATTGATTGGAATTTATTTCTATATTATTCGTAGCTTCTATAAATCTTTGAAGTTATTAAAATGAAAAATATTTTTCAAGCAAGACAGATAGTACAGCTGTTCAAAGAATGAGATTAAATCGCCAGCGAAAAAGTAAAAAAAAATATAAGCAGTCAATAAATGTATGTTAATTTTAATTACATGAAGTTCTTCAAATAAAATTACATGATGAGTGAAGTTGCGAAAACAATATTTGTGTGAACAAATATTATAGAATTTATTAATAGGCAATTACTTCATATGAAGGTTAATTTCTAAATGCTAATTACAATGACAAACCGATCATGTCATATTTGAATTATGATTTTAATTACATTATTGTTTTTAAATATTATACATATTTTTAATACTATTAAAAATATATAATTTATAATTTATCATTATATAAATGTGCATAATGTTTGACACTAAAATGTGCGCATCACGAGTGTTACCATATTACTAATAAACATTTTTCAAAAACGTTTTACACTACTTGTACAATAGCAAATAAGTTTTACTACAATCGTGTGCGAACCTTAGGTGCACTCTTTTTGTTTTTAAACAAGGATAGCAATCAAAATTATTTGTATTATTTTCTTAACAATTTTTATATTTCAGATAATTCCAAAAAAGTTCGATTATTCAGTTGCGAATGCACTTAAACCACGAAACAGAGATAAAAACCGATATATTCACACTTTACCATGTAGGTATTGATATTTTTAATAATGATACAATTATCATTGATATTTTATTTATTCCCTTTCAGATGACAAAACAAGAGTAAAACTGAATACACTTCCAAAAGATTCTTGTTCTGATTACATCAACGCGAGTTATATCGATGTGAGCAATATTACAATTGACAATATCTAAAGCAAAAAATGTCTAATATATAAAATTTGTTTAGGGTTTTGAAAGACCCAAGGAATACATTGCAACTCAAGGACCGAAAGAAAACACTGCCTACGACTTCTGGCGAATGATTTTGCAGGAAAAAGTTCCAGTCATTTGCATGTTGACACAATTTCAGGAAAAGAATTTAGTAAGGATGCAAAGTTATATCTTTGTAGTTATTGGTGATTTTCCGTTATATTTATTTTAAATTCAGGAAAAATGCTTCCAATATCGGCCCGAAATAGATAAAACAAGCAAACGATATGGAAAGATCACGATAACCAATGTTGAAATCATGAAAAGCTGCGGTGATTATGTTGTCAGAAAATTGTTGATCAGCTCTGGAGATGAACGATCTTCGGTTAGTAAAAGAAAGGCGAGTTTCATGTTAATTTAAGAATCTAGTAAATATTAATATTAATTTCTAGGTTGTACATCTGCATTATACTGCTTGGCCCGAGTACGAAACAACTCGGTATGCGGATTCTCTTGTTCCATTGTTGGCAGAGTTTCAAAAGGTTTCATCCCAAAATGGTCCAAAAGTGGTTCACTGCAGGTTAAATTTATTTGGATACCCAATATAATTTGCTATAGTTTTTAGTACTTTTTGTATTTTTCAGTGCCGGCGATGGTAGAACTGTTACCTTCATTCTGGCAGATATTTGCATCAAGATGGCACGTGCGACTGGTAAAATAGACGTTCTGCATTATCTGAACCAAATTCGAAAACAAAGAGCAAAACTCGTTAATTCCGAGGTAAAACAGATGCTCAAAATAATTAACGGCTATTTCATCTAATGGCTTTTTTTTAATCCAGGATCTGTACAAATTAGTGCACATGACGGTTCTGGAAACCCTTTTCGGCAAACCGACTGCCATACCGTGTTATCAATTAAAACAAACAATTCACCAGATGAAAATTCTCAATATATTATTTGATCAATGGAAATCTTTAGATCAACTATCATGGAAAGACGATTATATTACGGGAATCAAAGATGAACCAAAACCAAAATATATTGCAAGGCCGGAAAACAGAAACAATATAATTGCTGGTATGTGAATTTCGTGATCATTGCTTGAATTTGCTCCTAAATTACTCTTATTACAGGCAAAAAAGGAAGGGTCGTTATCACGCGAGCGATTTTAGCAAATCCTGATTCGGATTACATAAATGCAGTACTTGTGGATGGATTCAAAACCAAGGAACAGTTCATCGTCACACATTTTCCTTTGGAACAAACTATTGACGACTACTGGAGAATGATCTTTGACAAGAGAGTGAAGATTGTGATCGTATTTAACGAAGTTGATGTAACGGATCCTGTAAGTTAATCAATAAAATAGTCTTCTAACATTTATATTATGTTAATCTTGCAGACAGTGGTCAAGTTCGTACCAACTCGTATCAACCAGGAAATGAAACCATCACCTCGTATTTCTATAAAAACTTTGAATAAGGGCGATAGCGACTTCTACACTGTCTATGATGTACTTGTGAGTAATCACAAGTCACCAGAAACTCATTCAGAGGTCAAGGTGATGCAATGGAAAGGTTGGAAAAGTGATGAAACGTTGCCTTCAGGAGATGCATCTCATGGAGCTAACATCCTTCTCCAATTGTGGGAAGTGGTTAGGGACTGGATTGTAGGGAGCAAACTTAAAAAGAGTCCTATTCTTCTGACATGCTAGTAATATAACAATACAATTCGATGTGGTTTATTACTTAAATATATTTTATCCAATTATTATTATCCTCAGTGATGGAGCAACTGCTTGTGGTCTGTTCGCAGCATTAGTGTTTGTCATCGAAAAAATGGGGATCGATGGCGAATGTGATGTCCCACTCGCCTTAAGGACCATCAGGAAATACAGGAAGGAATTTGTTCGAAAAGAGGTAGGGATATACTTATCCATATCCATTCTACTACAAATAATCCTATACATTTTTATATCTTTTGCAGGAACAGTACGAGTATTTATTGGAAGCTGCTCTCGATTATCTCGACAAGCCCGAAGATAATATAAAATATTTATAGATCCTCAAATTAATCATATAATTGAATAATAGAAAACTATTTTTTATTTGAAAACTTTCATGAGAAGTTCTAATAAGAGAATAATAATTTTTCATTAGAAATATTGTGATTTAGTCATTATTTACATTTTGATTATATAAGAGATATTGCTATGGTTGTAGAAAGAAATTAATTTAAAGAACTAGTGGTGTATGGCATCGTGCCTTAAGGCAAATTGCTGGAACTTCCCGTACCGTAACGAAATGTTCGAGGAATATTAAATGTTTTCAAATAGATTATTATTAACACTGTAACATTGTCTTATATTTATAAGAATTATATAAACTAATGGACCGATTCTGCGCATAACAGAGAAATGTTACGCTACGACCTCCATACATTATGCGAATGAATCATACTGAATGCTGTCAAAATATCATGTATTTGCTGTTCATTCCGGCGTTTTAAGCATAAACTGCAACGCCACTCGTATGTTATCTAAGAGGAATCAGAAACACACACTTATCTAACACCGTTTTTTTGACATTTGTGCGGCTTTTAGGTTATGTTTTGCATGAAAAAACCTGAGAAATTCGCCTGACTGAACACCAACCGCATAACTTTTGTCTATATTACTATGGAAAATTCTTCATAACATGACCTTATCATAACATTGCGGCAGAATCGGTCCCTAAATTGCAAAGTTGAAATTATTTGTTTAAAGTATATTAGAACAGAATTAAAATTAAAATCTGAATTATATTTGAAATACAAAAAATTCAAAAAAAAGAAAAAAAAAATCGAAAAAAATTGAAACAATTTTTTTTTCCAAAAGCAATTATTTTGTTGAAACAAGCAGAAAGTTCTTTGAATCAATCAAATCAGACGCTTACATCTCTCAAAAACTGCAATTTTTTGCACATTTAGCTCTATATCTTCGAAATGGCTGCACCTGCCTTTGTCAGAAACTAATCATCTATTCTCCCAATCATTACAAATTGAATGTTTTTTAGATCATTCAAATGGTATACTCCGTTCTCTCAAAAACTCATTTTGTAATTTATGCACTCTTTGTTCCGTATCTCCGTAACGGCTGGACCTGCCTTTGCCTAAAAACTAACCAGCACATCTCCCTTTCAATAGGAATCGAATGATTTTTGAACCATTCAAATAGATTGATCCGTGCTCCCAAAAACGTGGACAAAAAATTGTACCCATACATACACACTCACACACATACACTTCCATTGTTTCTAAGATAGGCCAAAATGTTCAGAAGGTCTTGAAAAGTAAAAATATACAAAAATTGGCATTTCCCTTACCATTTTCAGAAAAATAACTAGTGGTGTATTTGAAATATTTTGGTAACTTTTTTTAAAGCAATCGCGATACGTTAGCTGCGTAGAAACGAAAAATAGAAGCGTGTGGGCGTTACAGTGTGACGGATAAATATTGGTTCGGAACCCATAGAAATGTGAACAAAATTTGTTATCATTATTAAAATATCTATAAAATGTGATAACTTGATGTGCGTATGTCAAATAAACATTTTTAACCGGCAAATGGCAATATTTTATATTTTTTTAATTGGATCATCGAAAACGCTAAATCTGCCTTTCCAAAAATTTCATCAGTTCTCCATTTTGTCAATACAAATAAAATGTTTTTTGAATTATTCAAATCGGACGCTCCGTTCTCCTAAAAACCGAAATACCATTTTTGACAAAAACTAATCAGCACGTCTCCTTATCAATAGGAATCGAATGTTATTTGAACCATTCAAATCGGTTGATCCGTGCGCCCGAAATCGTCGACGTAAAATTGTATCCGCACACACACACACACACACATGCACACACACATACATCCATTTTCTCTAAGGTATGCCAAAATTTTCAGAAACCTCTGAAACGAAAAGATATATACAAATTTTAATTTTGGATTTTTTTGCGATTACTATAACTTACCCTAAGGAAAGTTAAAAACAATTCAATGAATATCGATTGATTAGATTTTTGCGATCGGCTGAGCCGTTTCTTTAGATTTAGCAGATCCAAAATAAAATATGTATATATTTATATGTATCTGTGAGTGAGTTTAGGTATATAAATATATAAATGTATATATACACCTACATTCCTGTATAAATGAACCGCAATATTTCAACTCAACGGGGGACTAGCAAATATCAAAATTATTTATTATCCGGCCCACGATATATATACATATATACATACATGTATATACATATACAAATGTATATATACATTATGTGTAAGCGAATATAATTGTAATTTATCTGTTTTGCAAAAATTTTCTCGGATATATACGCATGTAATTTGTAAAATGATATATACATATATGCGATATACAATAGTAGATATGAATGATAGACATAATTTTCAAAGTGTCCTATATATCATTGTTATATATATATATATATATATATATATATATATATTCTAGACTAGTTTCCACTTTTATTTATGTCAACACAATTTACCATAATGTTGTGCGAAAGCTTTTTATTCAGGTCGCATTTCCAGGGTTCCGTACCTTAAAACCTTATTCATCGACGAAGGATCGAACTGATTGCCTCATTTTCAAAGGCTAGACACGTATTATAAATAATTAGCAAAATAAAATTGTGGTAGAATGAATCACAAAACTAGTGGTGTATGGCATCGTGTCTTAAGGTAAAGGGTTAGAACTTCCAGCACCGAAAGTTAAAATTTTTGGAAAACTATGAAAATATTAGATTTTTGAGAATTTGAAAACTTCTGAAAACTAGTGGTGCATGGCATCGTGCCTTAAGGCAAATTGCTGGAAATTCCCGTTACTTAACGAAATATTCGAGGAATGATTATTATACTTACCATAAATACTGTAACTTTATTATTCGTATTTTATAGACAAAATATAAAAGCTTATAAATTGGACGACGACATTTATATATGTTTACATGAAAAATAAATTTAAATTTGGATTTAAAATGAAAGACATTGGCTAATTTTTATAAGAACTAGTGGTGCATGGCATCGTGCCTTAAGGCAAATTACAGGAACTTCCCACACCGACAACAAAATTATTTTAAAAAAAACTTCGGAATTTTCTCAAAACTTGAAAGAAGTAGATTTTTGGGAGATTTTGTAAATTAAAAAAAAAATGACTTTTAAAAAATTTGATCTTTTTTTAACTTACCGTAGGGTAAGTTATATTAATCGTAAAGAATAGAAAATGAAATTTTTTGCGTATCCTTACGTTTCAAAGGTTTCTGAACATTTTGGCACACCTCTGAAAAAATGAACGTATGTGTGTGTATGTATGTTCGAATACAAATTTCGTCCAGAAGCTCGAGTGCAAGGATCAACCGATTTGAATGATTCAAAAAACATTCAATTCGGAGCATTCGGAGCAACATTTTTCTGTATTGACGAAATGGAGAACTGGTCAAAATTTTGGGAAGGCAGGACTAGTGGTTCTGGAGATTCAATGAAAAGAGTAGAAAATATAGCCCGTTGAGGGTCAAAAATGATCATTAGACATACGCACATCAAATTATTAGATATTTTACAGAGTTTTTTAATAATAAGTATGAATTTTGATTATATTTACATAGGTTCCATACCCATGTTTATCAGTTAGATTGCAACACGTCGTTTACGCGCTTCGATATTTTGTCTTTAAAACAGCTACGCAGCGAGATTGCTTTTAAAAAAAGTTCAAAAATTTCGAAAAATGTAAAAAAATAAAAATTTTTGAAAAAAAATTTTTTTTTTACATACTCAAAAATCTAATTTTTTCAAAAAGGTCTAAAATTTTCAAGAAATTTTAAAGCTTTTCAAAATATTTTTAACTTCACTTAGGGTAAGTTATAGTAATCGCAAAAAAATCGAACATGAAAATTTTTATATATCTTTACGTTTCAAAGGTTTCTGAATATTTTGGCATACCTTAGAAAAAATGGATGTATGTGTGTATGTGTGTGTGTGAGTGCGTGTGTGCATGTGTGTTCGGATACAAATTTCGTCGACGATTTCGGAAACACCGATGAACCATTTTGAATCATTCAAAAAACATTCGATTCATATTGATGAAGAGATGTGCTGATTAGTTTTTGGCGAAGGCAGGTCCAGCCGTTCTGAAGATACGGGGCAAAAAGTGGCAAAAACGGTAATTCAGTTTTTAAGAGAATGGAGTACTCGATTTGAATGATTCAAAAAACATTTTACTTGTATTGACAAGATGAACAACTGATTAAATTTATGGAGAGGCAGGTCCAGCGGTTATATACTCTCAATAAAAATAAGTTAAATTAACGGGGTGTATGACATCGTGCCTTAAGGCAAATTGCTGGAACTTCTCGTATTGTAACGAAATGTTCGAGGAATATTAAATGTTTTCAAATAGATTATTATAAATATTGTAACATTGTCTAATATTTATAAGAATTATAAATGAATGTTTTTTGAAACATTCTAATCGGTTGATCCGTGCGCCCAAAAACGTGGACGAAAATATGCGGACATACAAAACACACACACACACATCCATTTTTTCTGAAGTATGCCAAAATGTTCAGAAACCTTCAAAACGTCAAGAAATGCAAAAATTTTCAATTTCGATTTTTGAACGACAATAACTTACCCTGCGGGATGTTAAAAATGTCATTTGGCGGTCAAAAATGTTTATTGGGCATATGTACATCAAATTATCAGATATTTTATAGAGATTTTAATAATGTGTACACATTTCGTGTAATTTATTTTGGGTTTCGTACCAAGAATTTTATTACGGTATGTGAAGTTCCAGCAATTTGCCTGAAGGCACGATGCCATGCACCCCGCTATTATTTTTTAATAAAGCCCTTTTCACACGTACTTTATTGTATTTGTTTCTAATTACTGTTCTACTGTACTTCAGTGTATCAGTAACTATTCCTCCCTTACATCTCTGATTAAGGATGCAATTTAGTGTAAAAAATCGTCCTCGTTAACTCGAGTATCTCTCCAACTAGTAGT